CAGCGCCTCTGCCCTTTCCAAAGGCCAGCTCAAGCCCCACCGTCTGTCCCCTGCAGGGCCGTTCCCCGGGAGCCCTGCCTCAGTCTCCCCAGATGCTCCCACTCTTCCTCTTGGGAAATTACATTGTACATTGTACATTGTCTTCCCCCCAATAGAATGTAAGCCCCTGGAGGGCAGAGCATAGTGCCTGGCACACAGTGGGTGCTCTCTACACACTCCTTCATGCCCCTTTTCAGAAGCGTGTCTCATTGCCTACATTCCTAATGGAGGTAAGTTCCAAATTTCAGTTAGAGCCCAGGGGAAATAGAGACAGAATTGTTTGCCCCCTGAAATCTGTTAGTCTACAGACCTCAGGTTAAGAAGCGATCTCCCCGCGTCCAGCCTCCCTCCCCTCTCACCCATCCTCCACACAGCCGTCTGCCTGATATTCCTAAGCGTGGGTCTGACTGCGTCACTGCCCACTTCAAGAAGCTTGGGATTAGAAAAAAAGGACTCATCCAAAGCCCCCTCCAACTCCTCCCTGCAACCCTTCAAGGCCTTCCCCTTTGGCCTCTCGCTCTGCCTTCCTCGCCTCGACCCAAGGCCTCACTCCTGGTCCCCACGCCTCTTCGCCTTTGCCACTGGGGATGGGAGCTTTCCTCTCGGCCCAACCCTAACGGCACTGCCTGCCTGCCTGCCTGCCTTCCCAGCAGAGGGCTTTCTTGTTCTCCCTCCCGCTGGGGGTCTTCCCTTCCCCTCCCTCCAGAATTATTCTGTGTTTACTTGGTATACGCTTTGTGTTTCATTATCTCCTCTCAGGGGACTGTAAGCTCTCTGAAGGCAGGAGCTGTTTGGGTCTTTGTATCTCCAGCTCATCTCCAGCCAGGGACATCATTTTTCAGGTTCGGAACCACAATTTTATCTTTACAGGAGAATCACCCTCATGGCAATCCCTGCCCCAGGGCAGCTCTGGAGACGTCCAAAAATCCTGCAATGTCCAGCCTTAGAGAGCTAACTGCCCGGGGCCATGAAGAGGTTAACTATCGGCCCAGGGTCACACAGCCTGGACTTGTCTGGGGGAACCCTGAACCCTGACCTTCCTGACTCCAAGCTTGCCCCCATCCCATATGAACTAGTACATTGTTGGTGAATTGGATGGAATTGAGCCAAAGGTAACCAGGTCCTCTCTCATTGTCTTCTTCCTTACGCTTGGGATCAACTGGCCATCAGTCAGTTTTGATGAGACTCTTCTATCCCAAAGACCAGGCTTCTGGGAGGAGAGAACAAAGACCAAGCAGGAGCTAAGATCAGCCATCCCTTCTCCAACTCAGCTTGAGTGGAGGGGTCAGATAGGCAGTCAACAAACATATGTTATCTGCCAAGTGAGGGCTAGGGATGCAAAGGTCAAAACCTGGCCCCGGCCTGCCCTCAAGGAGGTCACAGGCTGGTGAGGAAGACAACGTGAAAACAGCAGGACAGCCGGAGAAAATCAACACAGAGAAGGCACTTCTCAACCGAGGGGGAACTGGGAAAGCCCTTTGGAAGAAGGGGGGAAGTAAGCTGTCTTAAAGGAATCCAGGAGGCAGAGGGGAGGAGAGAGAGCACGCCAGGCCCGGGGGACCAGCTGGAAAGGACCCTGGACGCCAACCTGCTCATTTTACAGATGAGGAAACTGAGGCAAACAGTGCCCCTAGCTCAGAAGCGTCTGGGGCAGGTGGGGGCTCAGGGAGGTTGAGAATATGAGAAACAGCTAATTCCCATCTTTCTGGGGTCTGGCCCCGGGCTGCACCCAGGCCAGCTGAATCCCGAGCCCCCGTCAGTGGGAGACGGTGCGCGTGACACCTGCGCCAGGGAGGAAATGGGACTGTGGCCCATCTGGTTTCTCCAAGTTCCCTTTTGCTTTCTTGGTTGGGGTAGAGGAGGGCCCGCAGGCAGTCAGGGGGCTTGGGTCAGAACCCAGCCGCCACTGACCCTGACCCGGGGGCTCTTGGGCAAAGAGCGCCGCCTCCTTTCTAGGCTTCAGGCCCCAGCTCTGCCAAATGAAGATGTTGCAGGAGCTGAGCCTCCAGAATCCTCTGACCTTGCAGCCCCCCGCCCCCCTTCCCTGGAGGCTGGCTGTGCCAGGATTCACGTCTGCATCAAGTGCTATCAGTACTTAGGAGTCAAATACACTTAAACATCTTATTCGAGTGACATTTACAGTGTTAGTATATTTAGTTCACAAAAATGCACTGACTTGTGGGTCCCCCTGAGACACCCCCAAATCACCCCTTGATCAAGTGATACCACTACTAGGCCTTCACACCCCAAGACATTTATGAGGGCAGTTTTGGTTGTGGGAAAGAACTGGAACAAGGGTGGGGCCGCTGAGCTGGGGTACGGAGAACAAACGATGCTGTCTGTACCAGTGCTAATCTAGGGGGCAGCTAGATAACCCAGCAGACAGAGTGCCGGAGCCGAGGCTGGAAGATGTGACCCCTTCCTAGCTGTGTGACCTTGGGCAGGTCACGGCCGCCGTCTGCCTCGGCGTGCTCATCTGTGAGGGTCGGTCAAGTGCTTCCTAAACGCTGCTGTGATGATATAATTACTGTTATAAGAGTGGACTCTTTGAGGATCTCTGGGCCTGGAGGTGTGCAAACAGACTGAGTCAGTGGATTGATTCATTTTGACTATCTGTTTGGCTGTGTCTGACTCTTCGTGACTCTGCTTGAGGTTTTCTTTCTTTCTTTTTTGTTTTCTGGTGAGGCAATCGGGGTTAAGTGATTTGCTCAGGGTCACCTAGCTAGTAAGTGTCAAGTGTCTAAAGGGTCTGAGGCTAGATTTGAACTCAGGTTCTCCTGGCTCCAAGGCTGCACCACCTAGCTGCCCCCATTTTGGGGTTTTCTTGGCAGATACTGGAGTGGTTGGTCATTTCCTTTTCCAGGTCATTTTACAGATGAGGAAACTGAGGCAAACGGGGTTAAGTGACTTGTCTAGGCTCACACAACTAGTAAGCGAGGCTGGATTTGAACTCAGGAAGATGAGTGTTCCTGACTCCAGGCCCAGTGTGCCATCTACAAAGGAGGGCTTTCATTTGGGGTGTGTGGGGAGTCGTGTCAGAAACCTTCAAAGAAGACAAAAACAGCATTAAGGCCAACTACTTTGATGATGGTAAATTTGTTAACTTGAAAAGGCTACAAGCCAAGACTAAAGTGGAGGGAGAGTTGGTGCGTGACTTTTTGTTCACAGATGATTGTGCACTCAGTGTACCCCCTGAGGCTGAGATGTAACAGAGTACGGATCAGTTCTCTGCTGCCTGTGCTAATTCTGGCCTGACAATGAACAGCAAGAAAACACAGATTCTCTACCAGCCAGCACCACGGTCTCCATGCATGGAACCACCAGTTACAGCAAACAGAGACATTTCAAACGCTACGGTAAGTCCCCTTACCTCGGCCATACACTTTCCGGGGATGTCCACACAGATGATGAAGCTGAGGCCAGAGCTGGCTCAGTGTTAGGGAGGCTCCGAAGGAAAGCATGGGAGAGAAGATGTATTAGACTGCCTACCAAACGGAAGGTCTACAGAGCTGCTGTGCTGACCTCAATGTTGTATGAAACCCAGAGAGTGCACCAGAGCCGTGCCAGGAAACGGAATCATCTCCGTTTGAATTGTCTTGGGAAGATTCTGGAGATCACCCGGGTAGGTAACGGCCCAGACCCGGGGGTCCGTTGTTGAGCTAACCTGCCAAGCATCAACGTCTACTGCAGAGAACTCAACCTTGGCCACCTGGCTTGAATACCAACATATGCCTGCCTGAAAAACGAGGCACATGTTCACTTGGTGCTCAGAAGGGACGCCAGGCCATGCTCGGGGTCTCTCTGGAGAACTTCAGAACCGACTGAGTGACGGGAGTGAGGCTGGCCCAGGATGGCCCCGCACGGCAGGCCCCCATCCAAGATGGCACCGTGCTCAAAAGAAAGCGACATGTGCGCGTGGGGGACCGCCTCCACTCCACACGTGCAGGGGGACTGCTTATGCCCGGCCTGTCAGAGCCTCCTGAGCTTGTTCGGTCCCATCGCCAGGTGGGACACACTGTGCCTTGACTCCAGTGTACTGAGGCCACGTTGGCCCTCCTCCAGAACGAAAGGGAAGAAATGAGGTCAACAAAGCTAAAAATGACCCGGAGAGGCCTGGGTGTGGGCCCGGAACTCCATCAGTGTCTTGAGCTCCCCTGCCAAAGTCAGGCCCTGAGCGAGGGCTGGCCCACTCTGCCAGGATGCCCGGGCATCCCCGCAGCGAGCCGGACGTCTAGTCGGACACCTCTGCCCACCTTCGCTGGGGCACCAAGGGATGAAGGTGGCGGGGAGCCACAGTCCCTCCTCCTTATCTCTGCCTGGGCACTGCCCATCAATTAACTGCCATCAGTGACCTCGCATTTGGGGGCTGGGCAGACAAGCTGGAAAGGAAGCAGGCCTGTCCTCAGGCGGCTTACACTCTATCAGGGAGACAAGACACGCTTGCACACGTGTGTACAGGACAGCGTGCTGGGTGTGAACAGGAAGGGCTCCCCCAGCGCGCGGCCCTCTGGCTCAACGCTAAAGGAAATCTGGGATGATAGGAGGCTGAGGGAAAGAGGGACAAGTGCAAAGCCTGGGAGGCAGGAGATGCAGCGTCTGCTTAGACTAGTTAGGACCACAGACCATGGATGGGGTATAAAGGATGGGGGGGCGCCAAGCAGTGAGGATGGCAACTTGGTGCTTAGGTACTGGGGAGCCCCAGAAGATTCTGGAGCAGGGAAGTGGCTCGGGAGAAGCCCTGGGGCTTGAGGGCCACCACACTGGACTGTGACTGGGGGCTGGCCTGGGAAGGGGCGGGACTGGAGGAGGGCAGGCCAATCGAGAGGTGGCTGCGGTTCGGAGGAGCGTGAGGGGCGGGGCCCTGGCTATTCCGGCCCTCCTGTCGTCACGTGACCCCTACTGTTCCTTCGGCTCCTCCCTTCCCCCTCCCCCCCGTGCGCGCGCCCAGCAGGAAGGGCGGAATGGAGCGCAGCCCGCACGCGTCGGCGCATGCGTGTGCGTGCGCGCGCCTCCGGCTCGCTGCGTGCCCACGCCAGCCCGCGCTCGACCACGGAGGCGGGAGTTTGTCCTCGCGATTGCTCGGCGTGGGGGCGGGGTGCTGGAGAGCCAGGCTGGTGCAGCAGGACTGCGAGCTGTCGGGGCTGACGGGTCCGGCTGAGATGGAGGCGTGCAGCGGCCGGCCGCCCGCCGGGCAGGGTCAGGAGAGCCAGCTTCGCGGGGGCAGCGACGGGCCGGTCCCCCGGGAGGAGCTCACGCCGGCGGGAATGAGTCAGGTTTGCCGCGCATGCGCCCCCTCGGCCTCCCCCTCCGACCCTCTCTTTAGGCCTGCGCCCCTTTTTGCGCAGGCGCCTCCACTCTCTGGGTCGCTCTTCCCCGGGCCTGGCCTGTTTGCGCAGGCGCCTCCTACGGAAGGGTCGTTCCCCCCCTTCCCCGGGCCTGTTCCGTCCGCGCAGGCGTGCCTCCACGTGTTTCCCGCGCTTCTCCCCGCAGCAGGGGCTCCATCCTCGGGCGCAGTCGAGGCCTCCCATGCGTGGTGCGCCTCCGCTCCTCGTGACCCTGCACACGCCTGGCCTCGTGTGTTGCGGAATATCTCCCCCCCCTTGTTATTACATCAATCAGCGAGCATTTATTAAGCCCAGATTTCGTGGGCGCTGCTCGCTTTACCAGACGCATTGCTCAGTAAAAGCTTCAAAACCAAGTAGAGAGTCTGAGTGGGGGGGGAACCCCCACAGACAAAGGTTTCAGGCCCGCTGTGGCCTCCAGAGACGGGGATTCACGTGGGGAGTTGTACAGACCCGGGTTCGAGTGCCGCCTTCTCGGACCCACCCTGACCCAGGCCGGCCCTAGCTGTGAAGAACCTGAGGAGGGCCCTGGGCTGCTCCGGTCCGGGGGCTTTGCTTGGCCCCGCCCCCCTTCAGAGCCCTGGCTGGGAGCCTGCAGGAATGTAGCAGCCTCCAGCCCGGGTGGTAACATTGTATCAAAGGAAAGGCACATGGCGCCCTGCGAACACTGGGCTCTTACCCCTGGCAAGTGACCCACAGGCCTGGCTGCCGGGCAATGGCAGCTCCGGACCTTTCCCCGTAATTAGAGAATCCCTCTGTCTGGTTTTTTTTTCCCAGGGTAAACAACAGTGCCACCATGACAGACAAGAAAGAAACGCAAAGAAATCTGTGGTCTCCAGTTCAAGTGATTTCAGCGACCCAGTTTACAAAGAGATTGCCGTCACCAATGGTTACATTAATCGAATGAGTAAGGAAGAGCTCCGAGCTAAGCTTTCAGAATTCAAGCTTGAAACCAGGTGAGTTTTCAGTTCCTCCAGTTCTGGTTTTTGATTTTGTCTTGACTTGAAAAGTGTGTTTAGTCCTCGATGGGAGACTAGCAAGCGGGATCTAGAAAGAAGAGAGTATCTGCCTCGTGGCAGGCATTGGGTGCCAGGGGACAGCCCTGGATTTGGAGAGGAGGCCACACGCTCAGTGAAGGCCCAGTGGGTGGAAGACCCGAGTTCAAATCTGGCCTCCCTTACCTAGCTGGGTGATCCTGAGCAAGTCATTGCCTCAGGGCTGTTGGGAGTATCCCGCAACACAATGATGGAAATGCTTGGCCCGTAGTAGGCACTCTGTGAATGCTGGCGCTGTTACCATTGTCTTCTGAGGGGGGGAGAGGGAGGGTTGGCTTAGGCCTCTGCAAGGCCCGTTCCGTCTCTAGCCCTGTGACCCCGTGGTCCTAAATCGACACAGGGAGGCGCAATGAGCTTGACCGTTCATAGCCAGGGAGTGGCTGGTTTGGTGCCAGTGCTCCATGGCTAGGGTTTCTTCTCCTTGCCCCAGTGATCGTTCAGTAGCGGATTTCAGGGTGTGTCTGTTTTTCTTTAGCCAGGAGTTGGGGGGAGTCCCCCTACTCACCTCAGCTTTCCCTGAAATTGTCTCACCCAGCTTAGTTCCTCAGTGTTTTTCACTGAGCCCTGACCAAACACCCTGCAGGAAGTCGGGCCAGATGGACAGAAGGGATTTTCACTCAGGGCTCGATAGGCCCGATTCCGAGGGAATATTTGCTTTCAGAAGCTTGGGTTGCCATTGAGGACCTCCCTGGGCCCAGGTTTTAGCTGCGTTAGATAAGGACAAGGCTTCTGTGATGCCCAGACAGCTGGCTTTTCAGGAGGGAGAGAAAAGGTTCTGGCTTGTGTCTGGCTTTGGTGCATTGGGTGGAGTCAGTCGGTAAACACTTGTCACATGCCTACTATGAGTCCCTGCCCTCAGGGAGCTTATGGGCTGTGGGGGGTTGGGGGGGGGCAACCTCAAGCACCTCTGTACAGACAAGCTATACACAGGGTAACTGGGAGATGCTTGGTGGGGGAAGGTGCTGGAATGAAGAGGGGGAGCAAGATGGAGCTGGGGAGGTCAGTGGTCAGAGCAGAGGAGGCTGAGGGGTGGCCTGAGAGGGCCTTGTGGGAGGAAGGGCCAGGAAGCCAGGGGCACGGAAGTGACAGGACAGGTGCTGAAGGGCTTTGAAGGCCAAGCAGAGCATTTTATATTGAATACCGGAGGTGATGGGGAGCCACTGGACAACACTGAGTAGGGCGATGATGTGGTCGGACCTGGGCTTTAGGTGGCTGATGGAGGGTGGACTGTAGAGGGGGGGACACCCAGGGCAGGCAGAGCCTCCCAGCAGCCACCGCTGTAGTCCAGGCTAGAGGCGCTGAGGGTCTGTGCCAGGCTGGGGTAGGGTCAGAGGAGAAGCTGGAGTTAACTGAGAAGAGGTGCTACAGAGGTGAAATGGACAGGCCATATTGGATAGGGCAGGGGAGAGAGAGAGAGAGAGAGAGAGTGTATGTGTGTGTGTGTGTGTGTGAGAGAGAGAGAGAGAGATGGGAAGGAGGGCCTGGAGGAGGACTCCTAGGTTGGGAGCCTGAGGCATTGGAAGGGTGGGGCTGCCCTCCCCCTAGTAGGGGAGAGAGGAGGAAAGAAGGGTCTGAGCATGCCCAAAGAAGTTCCTATCTTCTAGTTGGGAGAGAGCGTCCTGCATTCCAGATAAGAAATGTTCAGTCTTCCAGCACATTGAACTTTCCAGTTGTAACTTCCTAGTCTGTGTCAGGGCTAGGTGTCGAACACATCTCCCCCACTGCTCCACAGTGGGCCTGGCCAGATTAAAAGGAGATTGGGAAATTATTAACAGAATAAACTAAGAGACAATAAAACAGATAATGTGGCCTTTTAAGGCTAGCTGGACATGCAGCCAGTCTGGAAGGGGCCTGCAGACAAGGTGGCCCAGGAATTTGTAACCTGCCTCAGGGCGATTTCAAGGGGCCTTAGAGCTTGGATAGGGAAAAAAGAGCACGTCTTTATTTCCGTATAATTCATTGATTTCCTTTGCAATTCCATGTATTTATCTCATGCATTTAAAAAACATGATTCTGCTCAGCCCACCAGAGGAGGCTATGTTAAGAGCCCCTGTGCCGGTCAGCATCCTCACTTTACAGAAGAGGAGAAGGTACCTGTGTGTGCAGCCTGTGTGCCAGGGCTCATCTGCTGGCGCTGCCGATGAGGCAGAGGCGGTCTGGGGGCCTGAGCCCTGCGGGACTGATACCACCGGGGTGGCCGCGCGAAGTCCATCCCGGTGGAGGCGTGTTTGAGAGTCAGGGCCCCAGGCTGCCCACAGGTGTCGCCGCTGGCCTGCCAGCTGTGGGGAGACAGGAAGGCTGTGTCCTACAGAAACAGAACAAAATGTTAACTTTGTTGCTTGCTGCCTTTGTGACCTTGGGCTGGTCACTCAGTGTCTGTCCCCATTTCCTCTACTGTCACATGAGGAGATCGTAGCAGTTGCTTCCAGTTCTAAAGCTAAAGTGGTGATCTTATCGGCACAGCTAATGGCCTGTGAAGACCTCGTAAGCACTTTGTGCCCGACTTTGGAAGAGCTGAATGTTTCTCAGGGCCCTCCCCACCCTCACTCTGTGATCTAAAGATCTGTAAAAATAAGATCTTGGTGTGCTTGGCTCAGCCGGAGGAAGAAAGGGAAGAGGCCCCCTGGCACTGGCCACTCGGGCCTGAGAGTTTCGTATCTAAATCTGTTTGTGCTCAAGCCTACGCTTTGTGGTTTAGTACAAATCCCACTTTTTGTCTCCTGGACCCTGCCAGCCCAGGGTGTAACACGGGCATCTGTGTGTGATTGAACACCAGGTTCAGACTGAGGAGAGAAGGGCTGGGTTGGAACCCCTGTGGACACTGGAGAAATAGGCGTGTCCGGTGAAAAAGCAGGCATCGCTGGCACGCCTTTTCATAGGACAGGGATCTCTTAGTGGGCATTACAGTACGATTCCTATTAAACTTTTGACTGTGTTAGGCCTTGCTAACTGTTTTAAGTCCTATTTCCTTCTGCATCCTTCCTATCTGTCTCTTTTCATTTCATAATTTTTATTCTTCGGAGTCATATGTGTGTGTGTGTGTGTGTGTGTGTGTGTGTATGTGTGTGAAATTAATATGCCCCCCCTTCCCTTCCTCCATTGGGCACATTGAAAACAAGCAGATAAACTCCAAAACTGAATCTTTGCGTGCCTGTCTATACAGCTGAGCAGAACAAACTCCCGCATTCATCCCCTCTGGTTGACCAGATCCCGTCATTGCATGGAGTGTGGTAACATGTTTCAGAGGGGTCTTTCTCCAGAGTGGTTGCATGAACCGTTCCCCTCGTTTGGCCCCCTTCTCTCAGCATCGGTTCACAGGGATCACCCCAGTTTCCTCCCAAAGTGTCTGTTGGACACCGTAACACTTCATTCTGTCCATCCGCTACAGTTTGCTTAACCATCCCCCAAGGAGAAACGCCCCCTCTGCCTGCACTTTGAGTGGGCTGGGATGCCCTGTGGGGGCGGGGCGGGGCCTGTCCTGTTGCCCTCCAGTCCCAGAGCATTGGCAGGTGTCTCTTGGAGCCTTGGGTGTTCCCCGTAGCACTGTACTTTTCTCTTGTCTTTTCCCGTAACTTGGGTTGTCCCTTGCAGTCTGCATGTTTGTCCACTCCGAGCACAAGCCGTCTTCTCATCTCTCCTCAGGGGTGTGAAGGACGTTCTCAAGAAGCGTCTCAAGAACTACTACAAGAAGGAAAAGTTGACCCAGCAGCGGGAGGACAGCGATGCCAGCAGCTACTATGACTACATCTGCGTCATCGACTTCGAAGCCACCTGCGAGGAGGGCAACCCCCCCGAGTTCACTCATGAGATCATCGAGTTCCCCATTGTCTTACTGAACGCGCACACGCTGGAGATCGTAAGTGAACCCAGGCGCTCGGGCTGCAGGGCCCGTGCGTGGCGTTGTCTTCCGTGTGACCTTGGCTGGCCTTCTTGCCGGGGCTCTCGGCCTCCGATCAGGGGCCAGGACCCACCTGGGGGCTGTCCGCAGGGTCACTTGTTGTGGGCTAGTGGGGGTGCCCCCCTTGGCAAGGTGGCAAGCTGTGAGAATGATGACTTCTGCTGGGACCCAGGCATGAGGGAGGAAGAGCAGAGGGGAAGGTTAAGGTTCCCGGGGGCCTGGTAGGGAAAGCTGCTTAATCATGAGAGCTGTTGTGCCTCCTCAGGAGGTGAAAAGGGCTCTGGGCAGGGGCCGAGTGACCACATGTGGGCTGTGGCAGTGTGGACGTTCCTTTGGCACGTGGGTCAGACTAGATGGCCGTCGTGTCCCTTACATCTCTTCAGTTCTGTGAGTGACCGCTCACCTGATGAAGATCCCTTTAGAAATAGAGCTGGTAAATCACTCGTTTGGCACCTGTGGGGCGGGCCAGGAACCAGGAGAACGGCGCAGCTGGCAGCAGTCTGAGCCACTTGCCGGGAGCCCTTGGGGTAACTAACGGCAGGTGTGGAATTCCTGACTGTCAGGCATCTCTGCCCAGCCAGGCGTGTGTTATGCGTAGCTGTGGATACAGAGAAGGGCCAGAACAGTCCTGCTCTCGAGGGGCTCACCCGCCACTAATGAGGGAGACAGCCACGCAAACTGAATGCACCCAGGGTAGAGAGGGCAGCACTGCCTTGGGGTGGGGAGGAGAGGCTTCCTGTGGAAGGCAGGCTTTGAGCTGAGTCTGAAGGAAGCCAGGAGTGGGGCTGGGGAGGCCTGTCTCGTTCAGAGTCAGAGAGCACATAGGAAAAAGTAAAGCGCTAGGAAGGTGGGAGGGGTCCACATTGATACAGTAGACGACAGGGAGCCCCTGCAGGTTACTGAGCAGGAGGGCCCTGTGCTTTAGGAAAATCCCTTTGGGAGCTGAATGGAGGGTGGGCTGGAGTGGGGAGAGCCTGGGGCAGGCAGACCCCCAGTAGCCATTGTAGTGGTCCAGGCTCAGAGGAGAGAAGGGGCTTATTCAAGAGGTGCAGCTGATGTGTGGGGGACGAGAGAGAGTGAGGAGTGCAGGACGAGTGAGGCGCTGGGGGGGTTGGCAGTAAATGTCCTCCAGTGTGAGGCATCCCCAGGGCAGCTGGGGATGTGACAGTTGGATATCAGGGCTGGATGGTTCTGGACATTAGCTTAGAGATGATCATTGAGTCTATGGGAGCAGATGAGCAAGCCGAGTGAAATAACCCAGAGGGAGAAAGAAGGAGGGCCGAGGGCAGCGTGAGCCCCAGGATACAGCTCCTGGGGCGGCGGGCCAGACCTGCAGGAGAGGCCAGCCAGCGCTGAGCCCCCGAGAGCCCATGCCATGCCTGCAGGCCCCGGCCTCCCCTAGGACGCCTTCTTTGGGGCCACCCTCCTGAGAAAAAGGGCTATTTGTGGCTGGAGCTCTGGCTTTCTTGGCATGGGGTGAGCCGGCTTCTGGGACTGTCCTGAGACTTCGTCTTTTTTGCCCAACATTTTCCTAGACCATTTGAAAGCTCAGTTTTATTCCTGTCGGCAGAATCCCAATCTTTCACTCACCCTAGATGGGGCATTTTCTCTGGCAGTCCCCCAGGCCTGGCACGCTCTCCATCTGCATCCCCTTTTGTTCATGAGGTGCTTTCCCTCGGAGGCGACCTTGTTTTTTGGCTTTGGGTTCCCCACTGGGCCGGGAGTGCCTGAGGGCAGGGCTGTCCAGCCTCTCTGGGGACGCCAGTGCCCAGCAGGCGTGGTGCTTTTTAACATGATTCCTGGCAGCGGTGAGCAGCGCACTTCATCCTCAGGCCTCTGCCCTGCCTGTGCAGTTTTTCACAGCATTGATCCGCTTCTCAAGGCTTTCAGAATTGTTGAAATTTTGATGATGTTGTCATTGCATTACTCAACATCGTGTGGGCGAGGTCTTCCCAGATGCCTCTGGAATTGTCTGTTTCCTAGTTTCTTGGGGCGTGATAGCACTGCGTGCCCTGTGCACACGGCTCTGTGTTTAGCCGTTCCCCAGAGCAGGATGCCCCCGTAGCCTCGGCTTTGGGGTGAGCACAGAGCGAGCTGCCCTGAATGTGGTTGGACGTGTGGGTCCTTTTCTTCCCTCTTTGATGTGGGTCGTGATCTGGCCGAGTCCAAGGGCTTGCTCGGTTCCCTGGCTCTGGGGCACAGTTCCAGAAAGGCTCCGCCTGCCATCCATGGCCCCTGAAGGCCTGCGTGGTGGGGAGAGGAGCTGCCCACATCACACAGCCACAATGTAGCAGAGGGAGCTTCCTGCCTGGAAGGCCAGCCGCACCAGACCGTCTCTCTGATCACACTGAGATGCTCTGCTTTAGAAAGCCGAGTGTTTGGGAAAGCCCAGCATGCCCACTGATTGGTTGAGTTCAGTTCTTTGGAAAACTCGAGGAGGTGGACTTGCCCCTTCTCCATGCCGGGCCGGCGCGTGGCAGTCTTAGTCCTGTGGCTTCCAGCGAGGACTGCGGTGACAGTGGGCTGCTCCGTGGCATCAGTGGTCGGGCCAGGGGTGGTGACAGCTGTGTTGGGGGTTCTGCAACTGCTGCAGCAGCTGATGCACCGTGAAAGATCTCGCCAAGCCTGAGTGCCAGGGGAGGGAGCATGGCACAGCTGCCTGCCAACACCCAGTGTTACCATGCGGGAAATGGTCAGATGCCTTTGGCTTGCCTTCCCAGAGGGCCGTGACCGGAAGGTGCGATGCTTAGTGCTGTCCGTAAGTGGAATAGACTGCCTTAAGAAGCAGTCGGTTCCCCACTGCTGAAGGTATTCAGGCGGTCCCAGCTCTCCCATGGTCCTGGGCAAGCTCTCGGACCTCGGCAGTGTCTGCGACTGTGACCCTGAAGGCTCTGGGGAGCAGAGGAGCAGGCTGAGGTGGTGTGTGTGAGGGGCCAAAGAAAGACTGGCTCCTGGTGTCCCAGAGAGGGCGCTTCCAGGCACTTGCTCTTTGCGGATCGCTGTCTTGGCAGAAATCAGGGTGCCCTTGGCAGCCGAGCAGTCTGCCATTTGCTCTTGTGGGGTCTAGACAGATCATCTCACCTTGGGCGGCACACTTCCCTATTGCTTCCTCCTGCCTTTTATTAACTGGACGCTTGGCGGTGTGCACAAGGCTCTAAAAAGCTGGTTATCTCCAGGACTGTTGGAAGTCTCCAGATTCTCCAAGCCAGTTAACTGTAATTCATTGTAAACTTGCTCCAGCTGTAAAGATATGTAAGGGTGCGTGCCGCAGCTTGAGAAGGGCCAGCTGTCCTCACCTGCTGATGAGCCAGTGGTCTCTTTGCCTTGTAGGAAGACACCTTCCAGCAGTATGTGAGGCCGGAGATTAACACACAGCTTTCTGACTTCTGCATCAACCTCACAGGAATTACACAGGTGATTATGCCTTGGGCTTGGGACTGAAAATTCAGGCTTTATTTTATGAAGGGAAGGGCTTAGTTGTTTTTTGACAGTGTAGTTAAAATCGAAATGATGGTGTTCCTTGGCAGTCTTCAAAGTGATTTCTTCAAACTCTGGTCTTCTTAAACGCACAGGAGAACATGCATAGCTCTGTCCCCCAGATCAGCTGGCTGGAGTTGACCACCTTGTAAGATTTTCCTCCGCCCATCATGGCAGGGATCCATGATGGATCTCAAACCTTAAGGAGAGGTGGCCATCCTGATATAGGGGATCCTGTTTTATCCACCCTTGTTCACAGGCTGTCTTATGCCAAATCTGGCCTCATGATTGCGCTCTCTGGCCTTGTGGTAAAGTCCAGAATTCAGAGGCTCCTTCAGTTCAGGATGGTGGTGGTGGTGGTGGTTAAAATCATTGCACTCCCCACTCGTGTTGGCTTGGTGACAGCCCTAATCCTGAGGGGCCCCCCTCCCCCAGTGCCTTATGGAGGGGGCTGTGGGCGAGAGGGGTGGGACGGGCTGGCTGGGATTCAGGAAATGGGCACTCACAGACAGACAGAAACTCGAGAGTTGAGGTGTTTGCTCCAGGGGCCCCCTTTTCTCCCTCTGATTGGCTGAGCCCTGCTTTTACGTTTTGCATCTTCAGGAGATAGTGGACCGAGCCGACACCTTCCCTCAGGTACTTCGGAACGTAGTGGACTGGATGAGGCTGAAAGAGCTAGGGACAAAGTACAAGTACTCCATCCTGACGGACGGGTGAGTAGACGCGTGGCCCTTTGTGGATGTACATGTGGAGAACGGGTGCTCACACGTTAGCGGGACTTGCCGAGGGTGCGTCCAGCAGGAGGTGGCCTCTTCTGCTGCCATGCTCCTGTTTCTGATCCATAGAGGGTGTGGGCTGGAAGAAGGGGAAGCAGGGATCACAGAAGGTCCTCCAAGGGAGAGCAGTGGGCGGTACTGACGCCTCAGGAGCGAGCTGGCCCCCTCAGAGGATCATCCTCTTTTTGTGTCTTCAGCGCATAGCAGACAACCTGCCTGGCCCATAGGCTGACCGATGGCCTGCCCTCCTCAGCCCCTGCCTCCTTGTCAGTCAGCATTCAAAATAAGCTTCCCCCTGGCTGTAGATGAGTGAGGTGAAGCTCCCCTGTTAGTGTGGGGTGGTGTTGGCAGGGATGCTGCAACCACGCTGCCTGTCCCTCCCCCCTCCGCCCGCTCCTAAGCTCCAGCTCTTTCCTCCTCCACGGCTCAGTGCCTGCTTGTTGGGGCACCCCCTGGGCCTGTCTTCCTCTGCCTCACCCCCTCCGTGTTCCCCTCTGCCTGCTCCCATCTCCTCCGTGCAGCTTTCTTCTTACACTCCCATCCACGTCGACCTTTCTCCTCTGACCTTTCCTCAGACTTTCTGTCTGCCCTGCTTATGTTGATGCTTCTTCATGTCCTCTGTGCCTGCTTCTCTTGTGGTTTGGAGGTCAGGGAAGTCCTGACTCTGTCAGAAGGTTGGAGTGTGGAAGGAGATGAAGAAGGACCCGGGAATAGCTGTGTAGGGCCCCAGAGCCTGAGGACGGAGTCGTCACTGTCCTTCTAGGAACGTTTACCTACAGACATCCCCAGTGCTTTCAAACAGGAGGGCGTGCAGGACAGGAGTCCTCCAGTGCCCAGGAGGGAGCAGTGACCCTGTAGCATTGAGAAGGAGACGTCCTGAGGACGCAGAGGAAACCAAAGATGTTGGAGCACGGAGAGCCCCCAGAAGCATGGCAGGTCCCTCCTGGGAGCAGAGGGGCAGGGGCACAGAAGCCTGGCCTGTGCTGAGCGGCCAGGGGAAAGGCTGGTGGGGCACCGGGTGGGGGAGGCATTTACAGTGAAAGGAGGCTCATGGAAGGAGCAGCTGGACCCCAGCTGGGCTGTGCAGAGCAGTGGGGCCAGGCAGAGCCTGGGGCTGGCAGTGAGGCCCGAGTCTGGTTTGACTAGAGCGGGGTGGAGTCATGGGAAGAGGCTGGCCATGGGTCTCAGAAGCTGAGGTAAGCCTTTTTGGCTTTAGGCCCGTATCCTCTCATTCATCTCTCTGGGTCTCGGGTGAGAGCGTTGGCCTGCAGAGTGCCAAGGTGTAGAAGACGCTGGTCTGGGCTCAGGTGTCTGAGGTCTTGAGTGCCAGGGTGAGTGCTGGGCTCTGTCTCTTAGGTGTTGGAGGAGCAGACAGCTGTCGGGAGAGCTGAAGCTCGCAGGGGCCTGAGGGAGATGAGGTTGGGGGAAGAGAGGAGGACCAGAGGAAGGGATTGGAGCTTCATTCTTCTTGGTGGTCTGTGGCCTGGCAGGGGCAGAGCAGTCCTGGCTGTGGGGAAGGAAGATGGTATGAAAGAGTGCCTGACTGACCGTCGCCTTTGGTGACCTGAGACCCAGAGGAGTTGACTGATGGAGCAGCTGAGCCGGGCTCCAGCAAGACAGGACTGTGGGCCTGAGGAGAAGGAAGGGGAAGGGCTGCGCTGAGTTTCATACCGCTCTTAATCCGAGGCATGGCGGCTGGCTTTTCAGCATGAGGAGCAGGAAGCAGAGATCCCAGCACAGAGGATTCCAGCCCCAGCAGGGCATGCGGCACTGGCCTTTCTCTGCTTTGCCCGCACTGAGACTGGCGGGTCACCAGAGTGCGTTTGCCCATCCTCCCACGGTTCTCGTGGACGAGGTTGGAGCACGTGGAGGCGTACTTGGGCCCAAAGAGCAGTCGTTAACGGTTCTGTTGTTCTGGCAGGCAGGGGTTCCACTGGGCCTTTGGGGATGAATGTCTTGACTAGTGACCTGGCTGAGCAGGCTTGTCCAGGATGACCCAAAGGTAGGGGCTGCTATGGCTAACTCGGCGGGTGGCCGAAAGAGATCCAGACACCTTGACCGACCAGAGTGCTGGGCAGAGTCCAAGGAGACTGGATTAATAGGGAATGATGTCAGTTCTTGGTCCAGGGTCCGGTCACTCCTCCAGATAGGAAGTGCTGTCCTAGGCAGCCGCCTGGAAAGGATTTGGGACTTTCAGGACGTAGAGTGAAACATGCATCAGCAGAGTGAGATGGCTTTCCGAATGATAGCTGTGCTCGGTGGCTGCATTAAGAGCTAGAGGTGTGTCGAGAGGGAAGACCCCTCCTCCTCTGAGGTGCCAGTCCCTGTGCATAGAGGGAGGTCCCTGATGTGGATGGGGGCTGGGCGGCGGAGAATAGCGTCCGGCGGTCGTCGGGCTCTGCTCTGTGCCGCCCTGGTCCGAGGGACTGCACTGAGGAAGAGCGTGGTGACTCTGGAGGTGTGCAGGCTGCCTCCATCTCGAGGACCCCGAGGTTTTCTGGGGAGGCTGGATCAGGGGGCCCCGAGAGGTCTGACAGCTGTGGTTCTGTGTTCGTCTTCTCAAAAGCAGGGGCAGTGGTAGCCATCGTCACCAAGTCAGTGCAGAATTGTAGAGCAGAAGAGGGGAAAGAGGGGTCAGGGTGGTCCTTGTAGTGTCCGGGCCCCAGTAGGGCTTCTCTGTACCCGTTGGCCCGGTTGTGCAGGTGGGCTTAGAGCTGGTCAGGAGCCGAGAGAGAAGAAGGTCTGCGGAGCGGGGCAGGAAGAGCTTTCTTAAATTGCCTGCTAAGTATTCTGCTTTCCATTCTGACTACTCTTGTGCCTTTCTTCTTTTTTTCTGATTAAAAAAAATGTAAGTGGCTTTTACTTTGTTTCTTTTTTGTTGTTGTTGTTTTGTTTTTGTTTTTGTTTTTCTTTAGGCAGTTGGGGGTTAAGTGACTTGCCCAGAGTGACACAGCTAGTAAGTGTCAGGTGTTTGGTCTGAGGCTGGATTTGAACTTAGGTCCTCCTGACTTCAGGGCCGGTGCTCTATCCGCTCCACTACCTAACTGCCCCACTTTTCTTTTTTTAACAATAATGGCAGAAATGGTCCTAATTTTATCATGATGGGTGTCCATTTTGTGTTAAAGCTAATGTATGAAAGTCATGTTCTGTCCTGTGTTTAATGAAATCAGGATCAGCCTAAGGAAGATGATGTGGTAGGTCCAAAGTGAGTCTGAGGACTGTCTGGGAGCAGATGGTTGGGCATATGAGACAGGAGGTTCAGGCTGGGTCAGGTGGGCAGCCCTGTCCCACTTGGCTGGGCCCCCTTCACCTTGGTTCTCATGGGAGCTGGTTTTATGGGGGGGAGGGGTGGGGAGGAAATGGGAGGGAAGGAATTAAATGTGTTACAGCTACAGAGGTGTAAGAGTAGAGATGATGAATAGCTGTAAATGGGGGAAAAGTTAAGGTGATTTAAGTCAGGATGAGCAGATCCATGCAAATCAGAATGATTTAAAAGAATTAGTTGTACCTCTAGTATAGCATTTACCTTCTCCTTTTTTTCCCCCTTCCCCTCCAAGTTCATGGGATATGAGTAAGTTCCTGAATATTCAGTGTCAAATCAGCAGGCTCAGATACCCTTCTTTTGCCAAAAAGTGGATCAATATTCGAAAGTCATATGGAAACTTTTACAAGGTAATATTTGTTTATTTTGTTAAACAGTGATGCTATTGATGTTAACAGACTTGTCATGCGCGATACTTATGTCAGGGAAGTCCTTTGTTGATTCACTGTGCAGAAATGGCTTCTGGTTGATTTGCTGATTTTGTTTTCAAGTATTACTTTTCATTTCTCAAATTGGAAGTATGCAAGCTGCTGCAGCTGTCATGGCCCTCCCTTCAGTGTGGACGGAAGAGTGAGGAATCAAGGGGGAGGTTGCGGATCATTGTCCCCCCCAGAGCTGCAGCAGAGACCCAGCTGCTCCACGGATGCTCTCCTGAAGTGCGTCAGAGTCAGCCCAGTTACTGCCCTGGGGGAGGAGGGGGTGGGGGTGGGGTGTTAGGTTTCCTTGTCAGCTCTCTAGGCGACATGAGCTCCCAGGTACCAAGTGACCTGCTGCCATGATAGCCTGGCAGAAAAGCAAGACTTGACTTCTCAGGCTCTCTTGGAAAAGGACTCGGAGACTGGACATTGGGGCCCTCTGGCACTTGGCATGGCCAGCTCAGGGGACATGTTCTGATGGATGTCTGCTTTGAGTCCCATTCAGATAGAAGGAAATTACTCTTGTTAACTGCTGCTAAGCCTGCTAGCAGCCTCACGAGTCTGGTTTGTGGCTTTCTGTTTTCCACAGCCATTTTGGGGGGGGGGAGTGTGTGTGTTTACGCATTCGTACCTGTCTCCTCGTCATGAATTCAAGTGAATCCCATTCATTTTTTGGAGCATCTTACCGCCCCTGGCTTAGCCGTTCAGGTGTTGTAAGGTACATCCCCCTTGCAGTCTTCTGAGCCCTAAGGGCCGGGTCTTTGCTGCTGCTGCTGCTGGTTAGGAAAGCTGATCGAGGCTCCCTTCCTTCACTTTGGCGAGGAAGGGAGTGCCTCTGGTTCTCCAGGACGTCCCTCGAGCCAGGGCTGGCCTCGCAGCTCTGGGGGCTCTCTGTTGGTGAGGAGAGCAGGCATGTGCTGGCTCGGATCCTCTACAGATCAGAAGAGTCAGGCCCCCTGAGCATGGAGTTCATGGGAGCTCCTACAGGTACCTCTCATCTCTCCTTCCTTCCAGTTGGATTTCCCACTTGAGTCTAACCAATTGACATCCTTCACTTCAAATTATTTCCTGTGGAGATTAAGGAAGAGTTCAGGACTCTGACCCTGTTTTTCATAGTATCAGTTTTCCTTTTGTGGTGGAACTGATGGTTTGGGAGGCCCTTCTTCACAAATGATGCACAGCACAGTGTAGAGGAGTTCTTTCCAGAGGGCCTGCGCATCGCCACGCTTCTGCATCGTCCTCACGTCTGTCACTCCTGATGACGTCACAATATTCTATAGCCTTGAGGTCTTGTGGGTCATTCAGCAGTTCCACTGCTAGCTCCCCTTTTTTCCCTTGTTCTTCTCTTACACCTATTGATATTTTCATAAAATACATTTTTTAAACATTTTTTGAGGTGAGATGATTGGGTCCAACGGGGAATGGACAGGATGATTTCTTTTTGTAGAATATTGTCAGATTTCCTTCTGCAAAGATTCCACCACTTTCCGTTGATGTAGGAGTGTACCTGTTTTATCACTCCTCCCCCCCCAGCACTGAGTTATGCTGTTTTGGGGGGGATTTTTGGGGTTTGTTTTTGGTTTTGCTGGTTTGGTGAATGTGAGGTGCTGCTATGCTGTCATATACCGGGTGCATTTTAGGAGAATTTCCATTCAGCGTACTCACTCGGTTTTGTTCTGGTTATCCCTTCTCATTCTGTGTGATTCTTGTCCGTGGTTTCCGCAGATCCTTAAGAGGTTGGTGCCACATCCGATGGTCTTTTAGACGCGGGTGTTCTCAGGAGTCCCTGTGAAGCAGCGGGCTCCTCCTGTCTTGGCACCCACGTGTATAAACTTGGCTGGTGTTCTAACTAGCTCCTTCCCGGAATCACCGGTGGTTGGGGTGGCCGAGGCCCAGGAGGCAGGCCTGGGGTCCGTCCTGGCCTTGGGTGGGGTCGGGACGGCGTTCTGGAGTTTGACGTTGGTCCTCGTGCGTGTTCTCGCGAAGTCTGTGACAGGCGACCTGCTGTGCTTCGTTTCCAGGTTCCGAGGAATCACACCAAGCTGACCGTCATGCTTGAGAAGCTGGGCATGAGCTACGACGGGCGGCCCCACAGCGGCCTGGACGACTCCAAGAACATCGCCCGCATTGCCGTGCGCATGCTCCGGGACGGCTGTGAGCTGCGCGTCAACGAGAAGATGCAGGGCGGCCAGCTCACCAGCGTGTCCTCCTCTGCGCCTGTAGAGGGCGCCCCTGCCCCACAGATGCCCCATTTCCGAAATTAGCAGCTGAGGGTTTTTGCCTCCTGGATGGCGACTCCCAGCTTGGGTTGCTACCAAAAGTTAACAGATGGTCAATTATTCGTTCAGCTGATTCTACAATGCAAAATGCAAGCACCTTAGACATGTAAAAGTTTTATTACAGGTATATATGCATATATGTGTATTTTGTTGAACAAATATATATGTATATATGTGTGTGTGTGTATATATATTTGTTGAACAAACAGCAGATGGAGGGAGTTTTGGAATTCAATGCCACCAGCACTTTTAGTTCTCAAAGTATTGTTAAACAGTCCTCATGTACGTGTTTGTGTGTGAGCGTGTGTATACATTGTCGCACACACACAAACATATATGTACATTCCTTTTCGGAAGTGAGCTTGCCCATTCGCGAATACAAGGTTCCCAGTCTGCGTTCGGGTAGGCTCGTCCTTAGCCGACGTGCACTCCTTCCCCCGGGGAAGCGCCTCATCCCCGGGCATTCCTGCGTTCCCGTCTCAGCATCTGACTCGGGTGCCCTGGACCCTGGGAAGGAAAGCCAAGGGCAGGAGTGAGATGGCAGCCGCCCTCCGATCGATGCACGTGGCACAGTCACTCACCAGGGCACTGGTACAGTTAGAAGAGGTTCAGTCTCTAGGGGGGTGGTTGGGCAAAATCAGGTCAGGTCACAGATCTGATGGAAAATTTACTACTTAATGCAGATGAGTGACAAATGGAAAGAAAATGGAGTTTGGGGAAAATCACAGAAAATATAACTTTGTTACCCTACAGTTTTTATGAAGATGAGGTTTTTAGGCCTTTTTTCCTCTGCCACACGGCGATGGCCTGAAAGTTTGTGAAACTGAGTAAATGATAAGGAGATATGAGGCCTGCTAAACTGGAATTAGTCTTAAAAATCAAGCATCGCCATTCGTATTCAGCACAGCCAGGAAGGAGAATAAAGTGAGTAATGTGCCCCACCCCATTTGATGTTTGTCGGAGAGTGAGGAACTCTTGGCATGAGAAGGTCCTCAGAGATGGCTGAGAGCATCCCTCGTGCTGCAGGGAAGGAGGCTTGACCGCATGACTTGTCAGTCCCCTCCAGCTCGCTCGCTGCAGCGTGTGAAAAGTGCGGTCACAGATAGAGCGTTGAGTTGACCCCCACACGTTAAAAACCAGCTGATGCTGAGACAGGAAGAGGTCAGTTCTTCACTCCAAAGAAAAAAGTCTAAAGGAGGACGAAGGAGGCTGTTTCACCTAGAGGCACGAACCTGGTTAGGTTGTATTCAGACACTGTTCTTCTGACTGCTCTTCCTGGAGCCCAGCTTCTCTCGTGGTCTTCATTTGAACATGCTGGGCACCCTGTGTTGGGGGGCCTTAGCACCTGCAGAGCAGCGTGAGGGGGAGGAAGAGAGATGCTCTGGCTGTTTGCAGGGTGGGTGCATTTGCTCAGGGTTTGATTGACCTACCCTACGTGAAGGAGTGTGCCCTTACGGCTTTCTTGAGTCTGCTGCATTGTATTATGTTTTTATTTTTATTTTAACTTGAAAATATGCCCTTTATTTAAAGGCCTCTGGGTACACATGCAAGGGTGTACGTGATGGTATGTTTATTCTTTTTGCCTTTGGGGTGGGGGCGTGCAGTTTCAGTAAAAGATGGACAGAGGGGGTCGTGTTCCAGAATGCAGAGCGGCGTACACTACGTTGCTTTAGAAAAGCCCCTGTGGATCAGCTCTGAAAGCGGTTGGGTCTCAGTGTTGCCAGTTTGTTTCCTTTTCCTTCCGAGGCCCTTTTTTTTAGAAGGGACTCCCCCGATTTTGGGGATTCCTTTGTTTTTGCCTTGTTCAGAGCACTGACCCCTTTAAAGTCATCGTGCTGTTACCACATGCGCCTCTCCCGGGGGCTGCAGCAGGTCATGCCGTGTCTCTGCTTTGCCGGCCAAGGCACGTATTGATCTAGTTTGGACACCGTGCGCCCTCCCAGCCTCTCGTGGAGCTGCTGTTCTGCGGAGTGAGCGCCCACCTGTCCCGAGTGGGGGAGGCCGGCGCTACGGGAGTTCTCGAGTCCGTTCTGTTCCGTGGCGTGAGGGGGCATCCCTTCCTTCTCACTGGCCGCTCTCAGACTGACCCCTTTCCAGTGTCCAGGCACGCGCCTGAGAAGCATTCCACAGGTGGCCCTTGCTGCGATTCTCCTCCGAGTCATCTCTGATTGACAGTACTTGAAACGCCTGTTTTTCCTGGGGTCTGTCACACCAGCGGTTTTTGACTTTTCTGTTTGGTTCAAGCCAGAAATCGCTGCAAGCACCAAGCAGCCTGCTGGTATGGTTTGTCTGTGGGGCCCTTTGGCCAGAGCCCCACACCAGGTATTTTACGGACTTGTGCTTCTGTTACCTTCTCCGCGACCAAAGTGCCTAAAGAGAGCAGGAACGGGTGGCTCAAGCGAAGGGGGCCCTCGGGAGCCAGCCCGATGTCGGCTGCGAGAATCCCCAGCGGGTCCGATGATGGTGAGAGTGGCGGCAGCGCCTCGCAGCCCACAGTGGGAGGACGCCGGCCGGGGCTTCCGAGGAAGGGGCTCAGTGGTGAGGGGAAGCGGTGTGACCAAAGACCTCACCGACCACCACCGTGTGCTCTGCGCTAGCTGCTTTCTCAGGTTTGTCTTTGATCTGTGGAAGTGTTGCTGTTATCTTTGGGGTGGGGTGATGAGTGGAACCCCTGCATTGTGTGCTTTGTTCTGAAATAAAATCACACACCTTTTGCTATGTTCCAGGCCCCCGTTCCTTCCTCCCCAGAAGGTGACCCAAGCCTGGAGACTAGCAGCTTGGCTCTGTGAACACAAGGGTGGGAGCTCACTGGGGAGAGGAAGGTGCCCCTGGGTGTAGAGAGGGACTGCTCGAGTTGAGACTGCGGGGGGCTGCCCTCGCTCGCTCTGGGGCCACTGGAGGAATCCTCTTGGGGGTTGGCCCCCTGGGATTCTCTGACCGTGGGCAGTGGAGGGGGCCAATGCTGGAGCTCATCCCAGCTGCTGGCTTCTCGTGCCCATGGCAGAAGTAGGGGGAGGGGGTGGGGTGGGCGATGACTTCCATTTTGAATACCTAGTGGGAGATGGTTCTAAGACGTGCAGGTGCGGATGGCCGGTAAGCAGTTAGTGACGGAGGACCGGAGCTCTGGAAAGGGGAAAGGTTGTCTGCCAGTTTGAGGGAGTGTGCAACCGTGGGGAGGTCCCCAGAAGAAAGTTCAGGGGCAGTTAGGTGGCACAGTGGATAGAGCACCGGCCCTGAAGTCAGAAGGACCCGAGTTCAAATGCAGCCTCAGACCACACTTGACGCTTACTAGCTGTGTGACCCTGGGCAAGTCACTTAACCCCAATTGCCTTAAAAAAAAAAAGACAAAGTTGAGGACAAAGATCTAAGGTGGACCTAGCCCACGGGGACAGAGGATGCGTGTGTAGGCCCCACGTGTTACACGACGCCTGGACACGTGGGGGGTGGGTAGCACACTTCATTTCCTTATTTAAAGGTCTCGTTGGCTCTGCCCGTTTTTACATCACACATGGTGACTTCCCCCTTCCCCCCAGCCTCACTGAGCCTTCCCTTGTCAAAATGGCAGACCCAGCCAACCCGCCTTGGGGCAGCAGAGGATCCCTGCAGCCCCCACTCTGCACGGAAAGGCAGAATGCATTTGTTTCCTCATGCATCCCCAGGCCGGGGTGGGTCACCACAGCTTCTGGCATTTGGCCTCTTTATGGGGCTGACTCATACTTGCCCCACCCTGGGCACACTTGGGTGGGTCTTTCCGAGCCTGGACGCCAGTTTGCTCTTTCTGCTGGAAGGGGCAGGCTTGGCTGCTTCTTCCCACTGCCACCAGACAGCAGTTGTTCTATGTGCCTGCGTTTGGACCTGCTAATTACAAAGGCTAACACCATCTGATAGTCCTTCCATCTGGTGACCTGGGAGTCAGCCTGGCCTGCTTCCTCTCTCACCCCCTGCATTCAGTGTGGTGCCAAGGCCTGTTGGTTTCACCTCGGCCACATCCCTTCTGCCCCCGCCCTGACGCAGGCCCGTGTCCCTCCAGCCAGGCAATTGCAAGAGCTGCTGGGGGTGGGTCTGACTGCCTCAGGTCCCCCCGCTCCGGTCCATCTAACATTCAGTTCAGCCACCAAAGTGGTTTTCCTAAAGCACAGGTCTGATCATGCCACCTTTTCCCCTGCTCAGTAAACTCTAGCAACTCCTTGGATCGAATTCAGAGTGCTCTGTGTGGCGTCCAAAGCCCTTCGTCACCTAGCCCCCTCCTCCCTTACTTCCTGACCTTCGATCCATTGACACCATCCCCTTGGCTGTCCCATGGACAAGAAGCTCCCTCTCTTGGCTCTGGGCATTCTCTCTGGCTGTCGCCCGTTACCCGGAAGGCTGTCCTTCCTCTGCTCTGACCGCTGACCTCCCTGGCTTCCTGGAAGTCCCAACTAAAACCGCACCTTCTGCAGGAAGCTTCCCCAACCCCAGTGCCTTCCTTTTGCCCATTATCTCTCGATTCTGCCTGTAGCATGTTTGTACGTGTTTGTTTGTTGTCTCTTCCATCAGACTATAAGCTCCTTGAGGGCAGGGGCCACCTTTTGCCTGTGGTATCCCTGGAGCTTGGTATGGTAGGTGCTTTTGCTGTTCAGTCATGGCCAGCTTTTTATGACTCCATTTGGGGTCTTCTTGGCAAAGATGCTGGAGTGGTTCGCCATTTCCTTCTCTAGCTCATGTTACAGATGAGGAAGCTGAGGCAAACAGATCAAGTGACTTGCCCAGGGTCACACAGCTCGTTAAGTGTCTGAGGCTGGATTTGAACCCATGAAGATGAGTCTTCCTGACTCCAGGCCTAGCACTGCACTATGGCGCCACCTAGTGGGCCGACAATGACAGCAGTCGGTCGGGGTGTTTCTATGTGCCATCTTTCCTTCCCCAGGGGAAGGGAGAGGAACTTGGTCTAACCAGACACCCCCAAGGACCTTGGACCCAGGCATCTGGACTAGGTGGCCCTAGAGGTCACGTGGAGCAGGAGGCTGAGGGCCAAAGGAGGCAGCTGCAGTGACAACAAGGACAGAGCCAGGGTTGAGTCCCAGGTCCTCAATTCCGCTTCGAGCATTCGTTTCACCAGCCTGTGCTCTCCACCCGGGGCTCCGGGGGCGCAAAGCGCCCCCACTCTCCTTTTGGAACTTCCTGTCCAAATTCCCTCCTCGGAACGGAGTGTAATTGGCCCCAAAGTCGGCTTCTAAGTGCCATTCCTTCTACTACCATGCTTTTTCTTACCAATACCTGGAGAGGGATGGGGCAAGGGGTGTGTGTGTGTGTGTGTGTGTGTGTGTGTGTGTGTGTGTGTGTGTGTGTGTGTGTGTGTGTGTGTGTGTGTGTGTGTGTGTGTGTAAAGGGAGAGACAGAGACAGAGAGACATGGGGGGGAGAAAGGAGAGAGAAAAATGGAGGAGAGAGGGGAGGAGGGAGAGAGAGAGGGGGGAGACAGGAGAGAGAGGGGAGAGGGAGAGATTCATAAAACCTGGACCCTCTGTAAAGTAGCATTCTTTTTCCAAAGAACGTGAGTACAGATTTGAATGACAGAAAGGATGGTCTACCCACAAGGTGACGGGGGGGGGGGGGGGGGGACGGTCAGATGGCACCCTGACACCCTCGCCGTATCGGGAGGAATCCGGCGCGTTGAAGGGACCCTCTGTGGCGATGTCCTGGAAACCCAGGGGCAGTAGGTGTGGAGGGGCTGGGCTCTGCACAGTTGGAGGAAAGTCCCCAGTGCAAGTCCCTGGCTCCGTTAGGAGGACCTCCCAACCTCGCGGCCACCAGCCTCCTGCCGGCCTCAGTGCTGATGTTGGGGCGACTTGGTCCAAAGTCTTGCCCCATTTTGGTTCTTTTGGACGGGACCTGTGACCCACCGGCATGGGGAGCAGCCTGGGGAGGAACTTCTCCCAGTGCAGAGGGCGCCTCTTCCGCAGCTCAGGCTCGGGCAGTCGTCTGAGGCACTGAAAGGTTAACCAACTTGTGCAGGACTGGAACCCAGGCCTTCCTGACTCTACCCACGGTACCATGCCGCCCCTCGCACCCCACCCAACACTGTTGACAGGTTCAAGAAAACTTTGCCGCCGACCAGTGCCTGGCACGTGCTGTATGCAGGAGGTGCCTACCAGATGCCATCGGACCCCCTTGGATTAATGATGCTTTTGTACAGTGGGGTCGGGCGGGGCAGCTCTATATACAGGCTCGTGGGACTTGGAGGTGGGAGGGAACTGAGGTCCAATCCAACCTCATCTAGGGAGGAGGCAGCTGAGGGCCTGAGAGGGAGGAGCGCTTCACCCGACTCTCAGTCCGGATTTTCTAAGGTGCTCAGCCTGGTTCTCACATCCATTTCACTGATGCCTTTCATGTTTATATCTCGTCAGTGTCGGGGTACGCAGCCCTGCCCCAGCCCAACAACGCCTCTTTGGTGGAAGAGAAAAACCGCCCGTCGAACCGAGCGAGCAGTGACCGCGTCTGGCGATGACCGCGCCGTTTATCCCCGCCCTCCCACATCCCTCCGCTGTGGAGGAGAGAAGCGGGACTCCCTTATCCCTTTGGCGGGGTCAAGATTGGTCCCGATGGTCACGCAGCATTTGGCTTCCTCCTAACGGCGTTTTCGTGACCTGATTGAAGGCATTGTCTGGACTGTCCACTGATTTCATTTATTTCACTGTGTTACCGGTTCTTACAAATCTTTCTGCTTCTCCAAATTCCTCATACTTGTCATTTCGCTCTGCATGGTGATAGCCTGTTACATTTATGCCAGCTACCATTGACAGAGCATTTTAAGGTTGACAAAGTGCTTTATAGACATTATCTCATTTGATTCCCACAACGGCCCTGGGAGGGAAGGGCTATTTTTATTATTCCCATTTGACAGTTGAGGAAACAGAGGGGAAGTGACTTGCCCTGGGTCACACAGCTAGTACACTATCTGAGGCTGGATTTGAACTCAGGTCTCCCTGACCCCAGGCTCAGCACAAATCACAGTTTGTTCAGCCATTCTTCAGTTAATGGGCATCTGCTTTGTTCCTAGGCTTTTCCTCCCACAAAAGCACTGCTATGAATATCTTTCCCAACCCTGCTTAAGAACTAATGATGACACTTAGGAATGATGTGACTAGTGCCGAGCCTCAGTTTCCCCCTTTGCAAAACAGGGATAAGGAAGCCTGCCCTGCTTATTATCTCGCCAGGTGATTGAGATAAGAGCTTTTGGGGTCTTCGGACTCTCTGGCAATGACAGTTCCACTTCCTAGCTTGTGTTTCTGAGGCTTCTTTCTCTCCTGAATTTTCCCTCCCTAAAATGGCTAATCTGGAAATATGTTTTGCATCACTTCCCACATAAATGGGTATCATATCACTTGTCTTCTCAATTGGTAAGGAAAGGAGCTGGAAGGAGAGAATTTGGAACTCAAATTTTTAAAAAGGAATGCAAAAAATTAATTCATTTAAAAAATCATAGGGAAGTTTAGGGTTGGAGAGGGGTAGGGAAGACAACGTAAAGACAGTGCACCTCACGACCCTTCCCTGCCTCAGGTTAGATGCCATCTGGGTGCTTCACTCTGTCCCACCCCAAACAAAAAGGAATTGGAGTGGGGCTGTTACTTCCCAGCCCCTGCCCTAGATAGCAGAGTCCAATGAGAGATGCCTCCCACTAGTTACAGGGTGGCGTTGGAGGCAGGGGTGCAGATTCTGAGGAGGGGAGGGGATTTTTGCCA